GTTTTCCAGACCATTATTATTCTAGCTAAACCCTGAGAACTCAAATTAGACTTAAAAGAATATATCACAAATCTCAGTGGCAAAGAAGACATGATTCCTATTGACTAGCATCACTCTTGTAGTCAAACAAAGCTCAACTGTCAGAGCAAATATCACACTATTGTGTCACTTTTCTGAAAGAAAAAAAATCCTCATTGAATAATTATCAAAGTTTAGTTTTGTTACAGTGAATTGAGATTTGTCTTAAAACTTCAAGACAGTCTATGTTCACTTACTGGGAACTTGTACATTATAAAGTCAAGGATATAAAGACTTTTTAATGTTTGTGACCCATAATATTTATGCAATAATGTCTCTAAATTTCCTTTATTGGATTCTATTAGATGTGGTTTGTTCATGCTATATTTGAAACAAGTATCAGTATATCATAGTGATGTTTTTAAAATAGGTAATCTTGAATTGTGAATCTTTTAAGATTAGCTACAAAAATGCTTATTTAAAAGCGGTTTATAATGACAATAACTCAAAAGTCCGACAATAAAAGTTTGGTTTAAATAGGTATATCCATTTAAGACAGTGAATTTTTTTTTTTTTTTTACTGCTTACACAAAATATTGATGTTATATTAAATTCAAAATAGGTTAAAAGGTTTATGTAGTATGAATGCTCCGTGTAAAAGTAAGGCTTTTTTATAAAAATCTGAAAGAACACATTCAATTACGTTCACATTCAAAAAACCACTTTGTTTTCTGACTAGAAGGGTTATTTTGTTTTACCATGTCCTTATTTTTCTATAATGAATAGAATTATTTTCATTATGATGCTAAATTAATTGTTTTAGTTTTATCAAAATCTTAACAGAAGTTACTCAGGAAAAATTTTTCTCTGGAGGCTGTCTCACATCCAAAGCAGTGCATCTAAAATAACAAAAACTGCTGCTTTACTCCAGCCCAATGGAGAAAAATTTAATTTTATCCCTTATATGAGTATGAAGGGAAAAAAAATTTCCATATATGTATCTTTTTTCTGGATTGAGGGTATAGCAATTATGTTGAGCATTTACTTAATTAACAAAAAACCCTCCTCTTTTCATCAATTACTAAGGTGCTATAAAAGAGGAGTTTTTAATCCAACTCTCAAGATACAGGAACTTGAGTTCCTCCTTTAAACTTTTAAAGTTGTCATTATCCATTTAATTCATTTCTCTCCTTTCCCTACTGGAGTAAAAAGAAAAAGTCTGCACTGACTGCTCACTTGTGACATCAATCGCCGGTCTACACTTTTTATTGCAAGATTTACCTCACCTACCTTTCCTGAGGAAAATATTTTACTTCCATCTTTTCAAGTTCAGTATCTGCCTATCACAATAAAAAGTTACAGCTCTAACTAATTAAGTTGATAAGATCAACTACATTAACAATAATTGGTCACACTGGGTCTGCTGTCTATGGGTACTATTTTTTCTCAATCCCTCAGTATTCTCCCCGAGAAGGGGAATCACATCTACATAAGATAGTATCCTTCTCATTTCATACTTTTTTCCATACCAGAAAGATGAGTAAAGGTAAAAGATGAGGCTGACCCCATTATTTTGATACAAAATTCAATCAGTTGCACATTTACTTAAAGTCAGACAAAACACAGTATGCTATAATTAACATTTAACTAGTTACTTAAGAGTACAAAGCTTTTTAATGAAATCATTAGAATTACACTCTAATTTGAAAGATTTTTCTTTGCTCCCTCTTTTCTAGGATAAGGCATTTGTTACACAGATGGGAATATCACGACGTATTAAACTACAGTTTTTCCCACTTTAAATGTCAAAAATTCAGCTCATGTGCTTTGGGAAAGAGAGAATGTCAAGCCCCTCTAAAACTTAACATACACAAAAACTTTTAAGTCACCAAAGGGCATCTACAAAATTACTGTTACCTCAAATATTTCTACAAAAGTGCTGCAAATTTTTTATTGTGGTAAAATATACATAATACATTACTTACTATTTGATGATTTTAAAGTGTATAATTTAGTGGCATTAAGTACACCCACATTGTTGTGGAACCGTCACCACCATTCCCTTGTCCATCTTCTCAAACTGAAATTCTGTACCCATAAAATACGAACTCCTTATTTGCATATTTTTAAAATAGAGAAAACTGGATAAACCGTTGCTTAAGCCTCCAGTCACCCTTAAGGTCTAATCGTCTTTTTCCGAAACCGGCACGCTTACCTTCTTAGAAGCCTCAGGATGCAGAATTTGCCTGACATGAAGCTGCCCGTCGGTACAGAGACAGAAGGAGGTTCCTACCCCAATGTTCAGTTCATTGCTCACTGACTGGTTAAACTGAAAAGAACAGAACACACCCAGGGATGCAAAGGATGCAGGATTCACAAACTCTGAGAAGTGGCCCTCTTGTTTAAAACCAGAAAAAAAAAAACCCGGCTAACAGCTGCAAAGAACACCACTACTGGGGGCAACATTACAAGGACCCAGTCCCTCCAAACGGTCCAGCTTCCTTTAGTCAAGGGAGTTTTCCAATCAATCCTCAGTTAACCCACAGAAGAATTTAGTAAATGCATCCTTCAACATCCCTCCTCCTTGCATTTTTGTAATAAATCCATTCAAGACTTTTAAGTCAGAGGTCTCATTTCATCAGCAAATTGCCTTCGGATTACATCATTCTCTGGTGTTTGTTTTTTTTTCCCCCTGTTAAGATGCTCTAGACTTAAAGAAAGATGCCAGTTTCTGAAGTCAATGTGGCCAATGGGTATACAGAAGGCTTCCCTGGTGTCTCAGTGGTAAAGAATTCGCCTGCTAATGCAGGAGACGCAGATTGGATTCCTGGGTCGGGAAGATCCCCAGAAGAAGGAAATGACAACCCTCTCCAGTATTCTTGCCTGGGAAATCCCATGGACAGAGGAGCCTGGTGGGCTACAGTCCATGGGGTCGCAAAGAGTCGGACACGACTTAGAGACCAGACAAGATCAATGGGTACATAGAACTCTGTTAAACATAGTACCACGTTTCCTGTAGCACACCCCAGCAATGGTAACTTTCCCCTGTAATTAGCAGCTCCTGTTCTAGGGCAGAAGCCGGGAGCACGCTGGACACTCACCTGCGCACAGGTGTTCAGCGCCCCGCCCCAGCCGCGGTCCAGTACCCGTCAGCATCCTGGTTTTCAGGTCACCTCAACTCCAGCTAAGGGGATTCCACTACTTTCGTGGCCACCCAAGGGGCAACCCCACCTGGTCGGGCCCACAAACCCTCCCAGCGCTGGGCCCAAGGTCACTAAAGAGGTAAACGGAACCGAAACCAGGCCCTTGGGGGAATTCAGGAGCCTGAAACCAAGCAGCAACCCCCCGCCCGCCCGGTTCTCACCCAGCGGGGGCCCCCCTCTAGCTCTCCGCGCGAGGCCCGCCTGCCCGCCGGCACTGCAGCGCCCCCAGCCCCGGGGGCAGAGCCGCAGACCACAGCGGGGTCTCGGCCTGGGGTTGGGGGTGCTCGAATTCCAACTCCGCTCGACACACGACTGATGAATAACCCGGCGGATCTCAGGCCCCAGGAGCTAGTCAGGAAACAGCCCGAAAACTAACAAGTTTTAGCCCAAAGACTCCGGGGGCTGGGCTTCCCCATCTCAGATGGTAAAGAATCCGCCTGCAATGCTGGAGACCCAGGTTCGATCCCTGGGCCGGGAAGATCTCCTGGAGAAGGGAATGGCTACCCACTCCAGTATTCTGGCCTGGAGAATCCCATGCACTGAGGAGCTTTGCCAGGCTACTATCGATGGGGTCGCAAGAGTCGGACACGACTGAGCGACTAGACCATCACCACCACCACCCCGGGGGGCTGGGAGGCTTCAAGCAACAGCGCCTTCGCCGCCCAGAGTCCACCGAGGGCTCCCAGCCCGGGTCTCGCTACCCAGCCCCGGGGACCAACGCGCGCCACCCGGACGCCGCGGATGGGGTGGGCGGCGCGGCCCCGCGCTGTCACCTGTCGGAGCGCTTGGTCCAGCTGCGGCGCCGAGGACAGGCTCTCGGCGTCGAGCTTCGTTTCTTCTTTGCAGTCCTCCGTCAGCTCCAAGTGATCCGGTCTAACTAGTACTTCGTGCAACTGTCCCACCTCCGGGAAAAAAGAAAGAAAGCAAACAAGAAGCAGGGGGTCAGTTTCCCCTCCCTGAACGCGGGGACCTCCATCCTCACCCTCCTCCTCCCTCGCTCCCCTGTGGGGAAGGCCCACTCCTCCCGGCGGGTCCGGCTTCCAGAACCCAGGCTCCGGTAGCCGAGAGGTCGGCGCAGCCCTGCCCCCCAGCCCCACCCCCACCCGGATCAGGTCCGAAAAAGCCCTGGAAGTCCGCGCTCGGGCCCCCCAGGGACCCCGCCCCGCCCCCGCCGGGTGGCCCCCGCCGGGAGGAGAACAGAGCTTGGCGGCGTCCGGCCTCCCCACCTGGGCCAGATTTTGGAGGGCTGAAAGGGCTGGTTCCAAAGCGGCTGGAAGAGAAATCTGGTTTTCTCCTTGGATTCTCCAGACCTCGGGTCCAGCCTCACAAGTGGGCAAACGAGAGCAGTTGTTTACCCACTTCCTCTCAACTCGGACCAGCTTCTGCCCTCACGCCTATCCCTTGGACAGAAACCGTGGAGAAATACCTTCTTGTTGGCCAGATCCACGACTTTCCATAAGAGCAGGATTAGCTCCTTCTCGTCGGAGCCCAACTTGGCCCCGGTGGCCCCAGCCGTGATTCCGAAGAGCACCACCAAGTAATCCGGAGACGCCGTCATGACGATGGGTGGGGAGGGGGAGAAGGGGGGTCGGGAGGCGGCGAGGTGGGGCGGCCGTGAGAACGAGGGGAAAACCTGTGCTAAAACCTCTCCGAAGGAAAAAAAAAAAAACAATGGCTGGCTGATTGCGGAGGGGAGGGGGAGACGCTAGGGGCGGGGAAGAGGCGGCGGCCACCCAGAGGGGGAGCCGCGGCCGGACCGGGAAAGGGTGAGGCGTCGAGGGCGCGGAGGGACGGGTCGCCCGTGTGGAAGGACCCGAGAGATTGTGGGGGGCGAGGGGAGTGTGCTTGGAGAAAGGCCGGCTGTGGGGAACGAAGCCGCAGGTTCTAAAGGGTCAAGCGCAAAGGCCTGGCGCGGGGAGGCGAAAGCAGGACAGAGGTGAGGCCCAGGTGCGGAGCTGCCCGGGGCGCGGCGCCCGGGGAGGGCGAACCGCGGAGGGAGGGACCGGCCAACGGCGGCCGGGAGGTGGCGGGCGCGCTGGCCAAGCCCCGGAAAAGCCGCTCCCGAGCCCAACACACCTTTAAGTGCAAACAGCCGGCGAAAGCCTGCCGGCCCTCCCCCTCTCGGGGCGCACGCCCCTCCGTTCCCGAGTCACTCGCTGCCCACCTTGTGGAGTGAAACTTCCGCGCGCGGTTGCGCGGTTCTCGGGGGCGGAGGGGGCTGGACGCTCGGCCACCAAATGACGCGGTCGCCTCATGCACGCTTTCGGGCACCGGTGACCCCCACGCCCTTTGCTCTCAACTGCTCCCTTAATTGCTCCTCCTTGTTCGGTGCTGGCTGCTCGCTGGAGACTGCAGCCTCCTCCGGTCCAGGGGCCCGCTTCCTTTGCTTTGCCCTTGGCCCTAAATAAAATGTATCGAATACCGTACCAGATGTTTTCCTAAATCAAGCCAAAGCTAAGCTTTTTGCCCAGCTCGTGGCTCAGATCTCCCGCCCTCTACCTCGTACCATCGCCTTTGTACTTCTGTGTCGATTTGGCCAAGTTCCCCGAGCGATCTCCCTACTCTCGTCCCGCTAAACCTGCCTGGAGGTCGAGCGCCCACCTTCGCGCCCCTCCCATCGCCCTGCCCCTTCGTCGGACGGCAGTGTGGTGGGTTCTGTTGCCGTTTTCCAGAGAAAAGCGCTGGAGATGAAGTTTCCTTGGGTTTTTATGTTTGAACTCGATCTTTTATTGAGAACACAACGCCGTCTGAAGTATATTACTCATTCGGCTCCAAGTATCCAGCCCTTGATTGATAATCGGAGAACCGGTAACCGTACTCCATTCACTACAGTAACCCGCGCCAGGTACAAATCTGAGCCCCTTTCAGGATGCTCTGGAGACGCTGGAGATAGGGCTTTGCCGCCCGGGAGGAGGCGCGGACCGAGAGGGCAGGTCGTGGGAGGGTTTCAGGAGCCCGAGGCCGCGTGGAGAGTCGCCGCGCAGGTAACGGCAGAGCGCGCCCCGGGAGAGCTGGAGAATGAATGCCGGGCTCTCCGAGGGCGCTGGGTACCAGCCTTGTTGGCAGCCGGAGCCCCAGCGTCCCGCGCTTTCAGGTGCGGGATCCGGAAGGGCGCCCACAGCCTCTCCGCGGGCTCCGCGGCAGCAGCCTCGCCCCGCCCGGGCCGCGCGTCCCCTCGCGCTCTCCCAGGCCCGCAGGCGCCGCGGGGGCAGGGACTGGGCGCGGAAGACGGCAGGGAGGGACCTGGAAAAACCACCCAGATTGCATTGCAGTGGGCGAGGCCGCTGGAGGAGCCGGTTCCTCCGAGCCGCCTGCCCGCGGGGCGTTCTCCGTGCGCGGTTCCCAGGCGCTCGGCCCTGCGGGGCGCGGGGCCTGGTGCGGGGTTCCAGCGCGGCGGCGGCGGCTGGGGGTGGGGAACAACCGGTCCTCCCCACACACACACCGGGCGGGAGACTTGCTGAGAAAGTGTTACAACTGCTCAGGCAGTCCTACCCGGCCCTTCCTTTGAGGCCTTTGCTGTCGGGATCTGAGGAGTGCGTTTTGGGTAAAGGCAGAACTTGATTACCTGCGCGTTTGCCGGGGGATCGGCGGCGTTGGGCGCGTTAGGATCGAACCTCAGAGCTAACCCCTTTTCTCAGAGCCTTGCCTGTTTCCTCTTTAAGGAAGTCGGTTTCCTAGTGTCCGATTCTTTTTAATCTGAATTTTAGTTCGTCCAACTACACAGACAGGAGTTTTTTTTGTCTTACTTTGTTCTAGAATTGATTCCGAGGACTTGGAGCGGAGCTAGACATCCACGAAGTACTCCGCAAATATTTGTTGAAAGATTTTAGCGAGTAACAACACCCACCCGTTTTTGCAGCTGTTTGTCTTCTGAGCCACCACACAGTTCACGACTGCAACGGTGAGATTATGAAGAGGGGAGTTTATAGGTAATTCAAGTCTTAAGTGTTTTTTAAAAGAGTAGCTGCTAATTACTCACAAACAAATCTGTTGAAATCAAGATACTGTAAAAAAAAAAAATTAAACTCGTGAAATGCAGGAATACTGAGCAAACTATGTAATACAAAAACGATGAGTTATGAATACAAACACATTTTATTGTCCACCCACCGTTTACAAATGGTTCGATTATAATAGGAATAGTCAAAAAAAAAAAAATAGGAATAGTCCTTGTGAGAGAGGATCCCTTTACCTGTGGTCTTAATTCAGGACACACCTAAAACTCCCCAACAGAAGCGAACCTTTGTTAAAAGCAGCAGAGACCCAAATTGAGGGACAGGCAGCAAAGTAACTGGCCTGTATTCTTAAAATTTTTAAAGACCTTAAAACTATTTTCTGAAGAACTGTTCCAGAATTAAGAAGATATAACAACTCAATGCAATGTGGATCCTGTACCAGAAAAAAACTTTTTTTTTTCCCTCTAAAGGGCATTATTGGGACAAAAGGAAAAATTTGAATAAGGTCTGAAAATTAGTAGTGTTGTATCACTGTTAATTTACGAACTTTTGTAATCTTACTGTAATTGAACAGGAAAATGGCCTTTGCTTTAGGAACTACCCAGTAATTAGTGATAAAGGGAAATCATTGTCTATAACTTATTCTCAAAGGATTCTTACCAAAAATATGTATATATACACATGTGTATAAACACATAGATGAAGAGAAACAATGATACAGAAGAAGTATAAAATGTTAATGTAGAATCTGAGTGAACAAATTATACTATTCTTTGAAACCTAAAAAAAAATGTTTTTTTTTTAATAAATAAAAAAATTTTTTTAGTGTCAGAGGACTGCTGCCACCATCATTTGGTGTTTAAGAAGGGTCTATCTCCAGACTTTCTATGTTAACCTAATCCTCCATACTATAGAATGAATCCATTTTGTCTTTTCCTTAGTGAAAGGAGGAGAAAGAAAGGTCACATTTTCTGTGTAAAAATCCTTTCATATCATTTAAGGTTTTCTTAAATAACTTTACTAGACTAAATTACTGCAAGCTCTTTAAAGGTTTCATCATGAATCGTACTTGCCTGCTCTTTATCTTCATCATGCTCCTTGGACCCTTCTCCTCTTACCACTTTTAGACAGCAGCTGTTGTACTAGACAGAAAACAAATGTGTCCTCCGTGGCCTCACCACTGACACAGTAGTACCTAGACGTACGTCATAGTCTTTTCTTTTCTTTTTTTTCCTGTGGCTGTGGGATCTCAGTTCCCTGACCAGGAATTGAACCCAGGCCTGACAGTGAAAGCCCAGAATCCTAACCCAGGGAACTCCCTAAATGCATCTTCTTATTACTTACAATGCAGTTCCCTTTTTAAGACTACATAGCAGCATTGCATTTGCAGGCTCCAGTCTTGCTCTGAGGTCTCCAGATTTTTCCTGGAGTTTTCGCTTGCACATATTCAGTGGTTCTCTTGTACCTGTAAGAAAAGAGCCTTCAAAAGTGAATCAAAGTGTTCTCGAATTAGATAGTGGTGATAATTACATGAACATGTAAATAGACTAAAAACTACTGAATTGTACAGTTTCAAAATTTTATATTATGGCATATATGAATTATATTTCCATTTTTAAAAGAGCAAATCAAAGTATTATAAAAACCTTGTGTTCTGAGGCTACACAAACCATTGATATTTCTTAGTTATCTGTACCAGATAAAGTTGTAAAAGAGATCACATTTTATACTCCCTAGACAAATCCAGTCTCTCTGAAATGAAAAGGTAGGGGGATAGTCAGGATGGTCAGGATAATGAAATACATTATAATTTTCTATGAATTACACTGTGCATTACACATTTAAACAAATTACTGGTCTGAACCTTTATTATGGCAATTATTGGAGATGATCTGTGTGTAAAAAGTTTAATAATTGGCCCTGTCTTGTGCTACCTTCATGGCCATGGGTGTGCTCCTTAACCTTACCAGGACTCAGCTTCTCATCTATATAATTGGGCATGATGATAATGTGTATGTCGTAGATCTTCAGAGGAGAGGAAGTACGTAAAGAAGTGTCTTCAAAGAAAACAACCTGGAGAACCAAGACGTTTACTATAAAATTAGAACCTTCTCTTGGAGAGGGGGCTTTCCTGGTGGCTCAGACTGCAAAGAATCTGCCTACAGTGCAGGAGACCCAGGTTCAGTCCCTGCGTCGGGAAGACCCCCTGGAGAAGGGAATGGCTACCCACTCCGGTATTCTTGTCTGGAGAATTCCAAGGACAGAGGAGCCTGGCGGGCTGCAGTTCATGGGGCTGCAAAAGAGTCGCATACAACTGAGTGACTGTTACTTTTACTTTTCTCTCTAGACAACAACCACAAAGGCTCTCTCTTAGATTAAAGACACCATCAAGGCCGGGTGAAACATTAAATAAGATCTCACTATCTGTAGAAGGAAAATGTACAGAAAAACTTCACCTGGGGAAATGTGTCATGTATCTGGGCAAGATATGACTTCTCCTTGGGGACCAAGGGAATGGCAACCCACTCCAGTACTCTTGCCTGGAGAATTGCATGGACAGAGGAGCCTGACAGGCTACAGTCCATGGGGTCGAAAAGAGTTGGACACGACTGAGCGACTATCACTCGTTGGGGACCGCAGAACTGATCCATTTAAACTGGGCATCCAGGGAGAAGATGCCAGGTAGGGGATTCCTCCCTCCAGGCTTTAACGTCCTTTGCTCAGGAGTATAGTCAGACCTCCATATCTGTGATTCTGCATCCGAAGGCAGATTCAATCAACTGAAGACTGAAAATATTAGGGAAAAAAATTTAAAAAGTATAACAATTTACATATCATTTACATTATATTAAGTATTATAAGTAGTCTAAAGATGGTTTTGAACTGTGGTGCTGGAGAAGACTCTTTCGAGTTCCTTGGACATCAAGGAGATCAAACCAGTCAATTCTAAAGGAAATCAACCTGAATATTCATTAGAAGGACTGATGCTGAAGCTGAAGCTTTGGCCACCTGGTGTGAAGAGCCAGCTTGCTGGGAAAGACTGAGGGCAGGAGGAGAAAGGGGCATCAGAGGATAAGATGGTTAGAAAGCATCGCTGACTCAGTGGACATGAATTGGAGCAAACTCCAGGAGATAGTGAAGGACAGGGGAGCCTAGCATGCTGGAGTCCCTGGGGTCAAAAAGAGCTGGACACAACTTAGTGACTGAACAAGGAACAGAGACTGATTTCTGCCCTACCTAACACATTCTATAATTTCCGACTTAGTGACTAAAACAACAAAGATGGTTTAAATGGGAGGATGTGCTGTAGATTATATACAAATACTGTCATCATTTTATATAAGGGACTTGAGCACCTTCAGATTTTGGTATGTGGATGTGTGGGGATGAAACCAGTTACCCACAGACCCCAACGGATGACTGTACATCCCTGCATCTCCCAAAAGCCAGTCAGAGAGGAAAGAACAGCAGCAGACCTTATGTTTTAAGCCATGGTCGGTTGATGGGAGTGAGTGTTTAAAGATTTATGGGAAGGAAAAAAGTTTGGTTACTCTTATTTCCTCAGTTCCTCTGCTTTCCCTGTGCTTCGCCTACTCATCTATTTGGTTGACAAATAGCCAGTCTTGTTACTCTAATAAAATGTAACCCAAAGACTCCAAAATCATTATTGCCCTGTTTTGTGTCTTTTTGAAGTATTCAAAGTGCTGTTGAGATAGTTTATTTGCTGGACACTGCCATTTGGAGACAATGGTGATGGTTTTATGGCAGGACTGTATCTCTTCGTTTGCATGTCAGTGCATTCTGACATGCACTGTCAGAATTTAGGGATTCCTAAATGAGTGTAACAGTCTATACAAGTGTCAGTCCTGGTGGACATGCTCAGTCATTTATTTAAAAAGTATGTACTGACAGCAGACTGTGTACCAGGCAAGACAGGTATTAGGTACCGAACACACACAATGTATAGGAAATAAATGCAAATAAGGTCCTTACCCTTATTAAGTGTGGGATGCAAATAACCACAAAAGCAAAGGCATGATTGCAACAGTGATTTGCAACCCTAAAGGTACACAGTGCTCTCAGATTGCACAAGAGGACATAAATACTATCAGGGAGACCAAGAAGAGGCCAGTGAGCAGCAGTATTTGAACTAAAATCCAGAAGGAAGTGAAATAGAGGTAGGAGGAGATAAGGAAGAGGGAACGAGATGTCTCAGCAGCATGGTGTTCACAGCCTGTGATGGGAGGTGCTGGCGATGGATTGAAGACTGAAGGTGCTGGAGCAGAAGGCAAGGCCTCAGGCATCATCCTCCTGGCTGCTCCCCCAGCCCCGTCGGCATTTTCATCAAGTCCCTTGAAGTTTCCTTGGTCACTCTGTCTACATTACTCAGGTGACCTTTCTGGGCCAAAACTGGAATCTTTCTAACGGCTGCAACTTGTCTGCTGTGTGCTCTAGCCTTTCCCACACATTCAGTGGTTTCTAGAAATACTGAACTTTGCAGACCAATTAAGTCAAAACAGAGGGAAGGGTGACTGCCATAGAAAGCATTTCAATTCTTAATTTTGCTAAGGATTTGTGAGATCTTAGTTCCCCAACCAGGGACTGAACCTGGGCCCTCAGCAGTGAAAGCACAAATGGACCACCAGGGAATTCCCAAGAAGGGTATTTTAAAATGAAACCAATTATCATTTACTGTCTCCTTTATTTCATAAAAGAAAGGCCATTTTAACACCAAAAAGAAAGACTAATCTCAGAATAAAGGACCGTGTTCATATTAGTTGCATGAATCAGCTTTATGAAAAATTTGCCACATTGTCCTTTTCTGTCTCATTCAACTTCACATTGGAAAAAAATTATATGCTACGGTTTTGGAGCCAGTACCTTGACCCCTTCTGAAAATTACCAACAAATTGATTTTCCTAAAACTCACTTGTTTTAAACATTAATATATATTTATTTAAATCAATATAAATATATCACTTTGTAAATCTAGTAGTTGCACATGGCTTATAATAAAGAACATAATATCCCTGAACTCTGATTCCTGCTTCCAAGAGGCAGCTACTGTCCACTTCAACCTTTTTCTGTTTTTGTAGTTAACCATCTCATTTGTAAATATGTAATTCTAAACACTATTTTTTAAAGTGTAAAAGTCAACTTTGATTGTGTTGCTCCCCTTCTCAAATTGAACTGGAGCTATGGAATAAAGTATATACTCTCTATAAAATCTCAACTCTATCGATGATGCTTCTCAGATACAGCTCTTAGTGGTTACCACGGTAGACTGGACACTTAAAATGCTGCCCTGTGTTATCTGCTTCAAGTAGACGGCAGCTTTCTTTTATTAAAATTCTAGACTCAATTATTGATCACTGTCCTCATGGCTGGTTTCATTCCCATTGTTGAATTCTCTTTGTATGCATATAACAACCAGTAGAACTTGTTCATGCTCAAAACTTGGGGAAGAAATCTGGTGAGGGTACCTATCAGTTTTGCTGGCCTGAGAGGGAAGAATAAACACTTCTGAAATAGAACTGCTGCCAATAAGAGGACCTCCCTTTCTTATCCAGGCTGGTGTCCCTGCTTTAGCTGGTAGGGAAAATATCTGATTTTAATCAATTCATTTCTGCAAACAGCAAATTAATCAGCTCATCATTCTGGAAGGCAACACAAAAAATCACTGGATCTACTCCCTGTAAGTTGAGGGAGAAAGAGCAGAAAGATCTTTCTCCTTACATATGTATAAATAACAACAATAAAATAGCTTTTATTTATTGAATCAATGTTACCTACCAATCACCATTAGGAGAATAATCTCATTTTTTCTTACAAGTAGTTAAAACTACTGGGTTTTTTTTTTTTTTTTTCTTTTTTAACCCTGCTTTACAGCTGAGGAAACCGGAGGTAAAGAATAACTTGGTGAAAATGACAGGTGGTACTGATGGAGTTGGGAATTATACCTGAGGATTCTGACTCCAGAAACTGTGTTTAGCTGCTGTACTATACTGAACATGAGCCACTTTTGTACTATAGAAATCTTTTCTCAAAAATAAAGGGCAAATTATCACAAAGGCAACCCTATCTCCCTATGAGAGCTGGCTCCACCATGTACACACGACCAGTAACAGCCCTCAAAGCAAAGCTACAGTAAACTGACTTAACAGTTTAGTAATGTCACACCTTGTGAGAGTCGTTCAATCGTGTCCAACTCTGCGGCCCCATGGACTGTAGAGTCCATGGAATTCTCCAGGCCAGAATACTGGAGTGGGTTGCCTTTCCTTTCTCCAGGGGATCTTCCCAACCCAGGGATTGAACCCAGGTCTCCTGCATGGCAGGCGGATTCTTTAGCAGCTGAGCCACCAGGGAAGCCCAGTATCACACCTTAAATTGTACAAAATAATCTGTATTGGATACCTCCACTTGTTTATAAGAGAACCATGGACTATAAATTATACTTGAGAATTACTAGAAGTAACGTTCCAGAACAGGTATCAGTAGCATGGTAGTGAAAATACCAACTGTGTCATCAAAGCTTACTGCTTTCATACTTGAAAGAGACTTTTGTAAATTATATTCCAACTTCCTTGTTTCACAAGCAGCCAAAGAAGTTAAGTGACCTGCCCAACCAAGGCGACACAGCTAATTAGCAGCAGGGACTGAACTCGGAGCTCAGGTCTCCTGGCTCCAAACCCAGTGCTCTTTCCCTGTTGTGTCCATGACTACCCAGGCAGCGTGCTCCCTCTGAGACTGTGATAGGGTTTCTAGATGGGACTCGGAGATGTCTGTGTAGCTGGTTTGGGTTAAGGGTTTCCCTTTTGGTAGGGAAAAGACATTTTTGGTGGAGAGCTCTTTGCTGCAACTTAGGGGATGGAGCTTAGGGGATGCTGCCACCTCGGGAGTCCACCTCTGAGGCTGACACGCTGCTGCTCGCTTCCCTGGAGTCTGAGTCTGGAACCAGTGCCTCACACGCTGAGAATTTAGAAGGGTTTGGTGGTGAGACTTCCCTGGCGGCTCAGATGGTAAAGCATCTGGCTACAATGCGGGAGACCTGGGTTCAATCCCTGGGTCGGGAAGATTTCCTGGAGAAGGAAATGGCAACCCACTCCAGTATTCTTGTCTGGAAAAATTCCATGGACGGAAGAACCTGATGGGCTACAGTCCATGGGGTCGCAAAGAGTCGGACATAACTGA